ATTATATTTTTAAGAAAATATAACACAATAAGTAAATCATTTTTCATTAGCAACAACTAGAACACTTGAGCTACACAGTATCTAGGTAACGGTATATGAACATATAGAATTTTAAATGATATTAAACAATGCATGGAAACTGTAATTTTTCGATTTCTAATCAATAATCTATCCAACCATAGATTATTATTAGCGTATACATATGTAGGTAAATGTACATGGTTTTTAGATTGACGATAAAGCACAACGAACTATCGATCCCGTAATAGCTATAATTTAACTGGCAGATATTAATCATTAAACCATTTATGTACAGACATGTCTATACAAAAATTTATGTAGTTAAATATGTATGTAAATTTATCGTTTTGTGTGCTATGTCAGTTTGTTACTTATCGCCCTAATGTAGAACATATATAGTGATAGATAGTAGATACTTTATAGTAGGTATAGCTTACTTTTATTATTATGAACTGGCGATTTACTCTCGTTTTGCTCGACAACGTGCCTTGGTCTCTATGCTGATTTTGTTTACAATTTCATGGGTTTTATTTTTTTTTGCGCGGGACCCTAATTCTTTTTCTAAAATAAAAGTAGCCTTAGTTGCTTCTTATAACATCAGCTATCTGCCAGTGAAAGTCCCGTCAAAATCGGTCCAGCCGTTTCGGAGATTAACCGAAGTAAACAGACCGACAAACATTTTAGAATTTTTTACTTATAAGTATCGTATTGATATAGTATATGTATTTAGTAAAAAGTTGTTTTTCGACATTACAAACAGACACTTTATATATATATATATATATATATATATATATATATATATATGTAGTAGGATAATGGAACTTCAATGACTGCTAGTAAGATCTTCGAATTTGGAACTCTTTCGTTTTGGCGAATCGCATACATTTCTCTAAATCAAATGAGATCTTCTAATAAGAATAATAATAGGTCGAGTAGACATTTTATTCACATATTTAAAAACTGTTGAATTCCGATTTTTTCAAATAATTTACTATAAAACTATCATTTCATACATATATCCATTTCTTCATATTAAAAACCGTCTTTGAAATCTTAAGACTAAATGGAATTAAAAATTTGATGCAGCATTTAATTGTAGGTGTAGGTTGCATTTAATTGTAGCGAACAATATCGTGTCGCAAAGGAAATGCGCGCGCGCATTGATAATTATTATAATGAGTTCTCTTAATTAGTACTTTGAATCAACTATTGTTATCGTAATTGTGCGCACGCCTGCGACATATGGCTTTCTCGTGCTTTCCCTTTTTAGTATTCTTAATATAATTTGGTTTTAAATATTTTTGTAACACGCTTTTTAGTGACCATATATTTTACTTCAGCCTCTATGATTTATAATATGTATATATTTAAAGTTATATATATGTAGTGTATCAACTATCTGGTATCCATAACACAAGCCTCGTAGCTTAGCGTGGAACTAGATGGTGGTATGTGTTAATGTCCCAACATATATCCCAACATATTATGATTTTTAGGTAATTATTTTCTCTTTAATGGCCTCTCGGAGTAAGATTTGTAATATTGGACTACCTACTCTACTTCTGTCATTATAGTTTTTGGTATATTAATTTATCAACAACGTAGGCGAATTTACTTTGGTAGTAAATAAATAAATATGTTGGGACATTAATACACAGGACCATCGAGTTCCATGGTAAGCTACGAGGCTTGTGTTATGGATACCAGATAGTTGATACACTAGATATATATAAATACATAAATGTTATAAATATAAACACCCATGACTGGAGTACAAACATTCGTGCTCATCGCACGAATGCCCCACAGTGCGCTGGCACAGCAAGTAGGGTCACTAGAAACTTAGCCAAACGTTTCGTCAAGGAAACAAAATGATAATGTAATTTGAAAATTGTATTGATCATACAAGAGTTGTATATCAACTGTTAATACACTACATATTTAAGTATATGAATCGGGAGAATAACACGTTGAAAATATATGTTTTAAAGAAACCTTATGCCATACAATATTGTCCACACAATAATCAGTATCACATGATTTTACTAACTTATTAGCACAAACCCCTCTAAATGACATTTAATAGTCCGTGTGTTTTGCATGTTAATACACCTGCCTTCTCGGAAACAGGTGGGGCCCCTTCTAATTATAAGATCAATAGCCTGTCGTGGGCTATCATTAGCAAGCCATACAGGTACGAGTAGTCAAGGGTGTCCAAGTAAATTATGTATATAGGGTTCTGTAGACAATTTTGAATGGTTTTTTAATACTATAATTTGTGGTGACGAATCTAATTGGCCCGATGGTTTGCCCCAATCGATGTAATAGTTGGTTTAACCCTAATTTTATTGTATGTTAGGACTAGGTGGATGTTTTAATATAAGATAGTTATTATAAATTATAGCCAATGCGTTATAGTTATGAATAAGTTTTGTGCAGCTGCAAAGTTATATCAAAATCCTTTTAGTAGCTTTTACGTGAAAGAGTAACAAAAATACATACATAATATTGTGTCGGGATAAGGGGAAACCGAAATTCAATCATACATACATACATACCTACATATATCCATACTAATATTATAAATGTGAAAGTGTGTTTGTTTTTTTCCTTCTTTCACGTCGAAACGGAGTAACGGATTGGCGTAATTTTTTGTGTGCATTGTTGGAGAGTGACAAAGGCTACTTTTTAACGCGGGATATTACATAATTCCCACGGGGAAACACGTTATAATACAATTCAAAAAATATTTATTATCAGAATTACTTGAAACTTGGTATATATACTCTTCAATAAAATTAAATAAATACGTGTCTTAGGATTTTTCAAAATTCATCAAACTACTTTGACACATATACAAATTCATAAAACTACCTTTTTAGAGTTTTTTTGTAGTTTTAGCACGAGCGATGCCGCGGGTTCTGCTAGTATTATATATGCACCGTGTTTTTACAAATATAATAATAGTATCACAATGATTCAATACACTGCATACCATTTATCGCTCTTGTATCGATAATAATTAATATACATAATATAATATAACATATTCAATTTTTTATGTATATGCAAAACCTCACGTCGTACCATTGCTACGTGCAAAGGACAAAGCGACAAACAAGCAAAGTTCGCATTTATTATATCGTATCCATTGTGCAAATCTGACCGCTTGAGCAATTTTATATAGGCACTTATAAATAAAATACTCGCCTTGCGGTTACAAAACAATGCGTCTGTCTGAATCACTCGGTCATTAACTATTGTATTGTAAGAGGTTTATAGGTGTTCAGACGCACGGACAGACGGACTGTGATTTGTTGGTGCTTATTGTTAGTACATTATCTAGTGAGCGGTTTTCATTCAATTGTTCATAGCTTGTCGATTGGCTTTTAAATTTGAACTAGTTTTTCTACGTGCCTTCGCTCGCGTTGTAGGTAAGACGAAAGAAAGTATGTATATGTGAGGAAAAGACGCAGATTTTTTTCTAGTTTATTTCTAGGGTGTATTTTATTTAAAACTGTGTGTGTGTGTATTTATTTTATTTAAGTTAGATTGCTTCCCCATATAAACTTTCATTCCCATTTTCATCCCCTTAAGGGATGAGTTTTGGGATGAATCCTATGTCTTTCCCAGGGTCTCAAATGATCTTCTTACCAAATGTCACGTAAATCGGTTCAGTAGATCCAGAGATTTCCCCCTACAACGTCACAATTCACAATCTCACAAACTTTACCTCTTTAAAATATTAGTATGTATAGATAATTCAGAAGCTAATAAAAGTTAAAAAATGATCATTCTAAATTTTTAACTATTTTGAGTATCAAAAAGATAACATGAATTTTACTAAAAATGTACCTTCTTTACTAGTTTAGACATTATCGTCAAGTTTGTGCAAGTTTTCGAAAGCTTGTGCTAAATAAACAAATGTTAGTTTCACGTAGACACTATAAAACCATGTACAGATAAAACATGTGGGCGTTACATCTCAGCAAACGTCAGCTAACTTATTCGTTTGTTTTATGAATATAAGTATATAATTAAAACCTTAACCTCTTTTGTATTGAATGAGTCGGTTGGAGGTCCAATTATAATGATTAAATTATTTATATTTGGCTTTCGTTGCCTTTGGCTTTGATAGGTTTGTGTGGTTAAGTTTTTAAATATGGTAAGGAATGTTGCTTTGAGTTAAATCTATACCTACATATAATAAAATTCTGAGTCAAATCTGTACATTAAATATTTTTTGGAAAATCTTATTGAAATAGTCATTATTATCGATAGAGACCGATCTATAGTTTTTATAATTTTTGTCTGTCTGGGAACGCATCACGAGATTTCAGCATCAGAATCATTCGATTTTGATCAAATCTGGTATGATGATAGCTGGTTATCCGGGTCAACATATAGGATATACTTTTTACTGCGGGAAAATATCTCATCTCTGAGAAATCTCTACTAACTTCAAAACTCAGGGACGAACCCGAGTGGAGCGAGGGTTGAGTCGCTAGTTATAGATATATAAAAGTCATGTTCTTTTTTAGAATGTGATCTGTCTGAAGAGGTCGAGTTTTGTAAAAAATCTAATAAATAATTAATTACCTAATTCTAAGGCATGCTCTTATGAACTTTTCTTGCTTGTTGAATTATTTTTCGCCGATATAGAACTTTCTTGTGTACTTTTGTTATCTCATAAACAAATTGAATTGATAACATATGAATTGTTGATTCTTACTCCACTGCCCAGTAAATAGGGTAATGTTTTTATATGACTCATATTAATCATTATTTTTATAATAATAGGCTATTTTCCGCATGATCTGTGGACATAACATTATACATAATATGTATGTATTTAGATTTGTCATATACGATACGTTCTATAGTTATATATTGATGCGTTTCAGAAAGGCGAAGTAAAAGTTTGTTAGAAACAGTTTATTTAAAAAATTTAATAGTCCATATAATGTCTTTTTCAGGATCTAGAATGACTTCGACATCGTTCAACGTGGGCCTCGGTGATGGATCGAGGTCGTCTAGCCGGGTGCTCCGCCCTCCCGGCGGTGGGCACACGGATATCTTCGGAGGGGATCCTGAACCCCCTCGTGGGCGTCGCATGGGGCCCCCTGCACCTGCTAGTCAAATTCAAGGTTGGTGTTGTGTGATTGCTTATGGTACTGTAGACGAAGAGCTAAATGGAAACCTTATAGTTTTATTATGTTCCTCTAGCTGGCACAGATACTATATTAAAATTTTGTCGATTTTTGGCTACGGCGACCAATCTCACTGAGACTAGCGGACTGCACAGAAGATATTATAATGCACAAGTATACGCGCACACACAAGTGCACTCTCTATTCTTGTTATCGATGAGACGAGAGATGAGATCGGCTTTAAGTGCTCCTAGGAACAGGGATGAAACACCGTGAACTTCCCAACACCGGACTGTTACTTAAGACTTCCTAACAGAAAGATATGGCCCGACCCGGGACTCGAACCCGCTACACCACTAGGCAGTTACTAGAAATCACGAGTATTATTAATAGGTGCATATTTTAAATTCAGAAAATACATCTTCATCGTTGTTTATATACTAAATTGTCTTATATTTTCTAAAATTGTAAATACTTTTAATTGTATTATGTGTTTTCATCAAAAAATACATTATCCAAATGGACTTTACAAGCAATTTTGAATCGACAATTTTTACTGTTTTAAATTTATCCATGGTCCACTTAATTATTGGATACGACATGAATCTTTAATGACAGCTAGTTTAGTTTAAAACAAAAGATTGATGATCGCCTATGTAATAGGTACATGGAGAAACATAGGCATAATATATGTATATTCTTTTGTATTTAGAATCTTATTATTTTGGGAATCATATATTTTGCTTTTATTAATTTTATAAACATTATAATAAAATTCTGAGTCGAATCTGTAATCTGTACATTCAATGTTTTTTGGAAAATCTTATTGAAATAGTCATTATTGTCAATACAGATGCGGAATCTATAGTTTTTAGAATTTTTGTCTGTCGGTCTGTCTGTTTGGGAACGCGTCACGAGAAAACAACTGGACAGATTTTGATGAAATTTGGTATGATGATAGCTGATTATCTCGGTCAAAATATAGGATGCTTTATACTGCGGGAAAATATCTCTTCTCTGAGAAATCTATACTAAATGTTAAAACGTATCAAGGGAAGGTGAGTCGCTAGTTAGTTATATTTGTAAATAATTAAAATTTATTGTCTATATTTTGTATCTACCTACACACCTATGAAAAAGAGTGATCAATGCCATTCAAAGCCTTTTTGCTTTCGGCATACAACACCAAGTTGGGCAACATTAGGCTACATCGACGATTCGTACAACAATAATCTTATTATATTATAATCCACTTACAGCTTAGCTTAGTTATATGGTCAATGTTTGGCGTCCTCGAATATGTTAGTCTCTAGATTATTTGGTGGGTAGTGGGTTTGAAACCCGCTCGGGTAAATAATAAATATCAATACTAATACATATTTTTTTAAATAACTACAATTTTGTAACTAAATTTAGAGCTTTAGTTAAAAATTAGGGTAGGGAATCTCTCTTGTCATAATAGTAAATTTAATAAAAAAAAATCATTTAATATCTTATAATCTCCATCTTGAGAAAAACCACTCTACGGCCGCTAGGAGCATATCTACTTATAACACTTATAAATAGACACCGCGCGTGGAGCAGCTTGCAATTTCTAGTTAACCATATATATACATTTTTTTTCTCCCTTTTACCGGTCATTCTAAATATAACGTGTTTTCTCCGTTCTACGCGACATCGGCGAAGCCATTGAACAAAAAATTTGAATGGAAGCATATACCGTATACTTGAGTAACACTAGCGACTTTTCTTCGCTTCGCTCGGGTGAGTGGTTGCTTAAGCGTGGCCCTAGGGATTATTTTCTTTGAAACGCATAGAGGACAAACATACAAACATGCATTTTTATATGTAATCTTAGTGGTATAGAATTTGTGTGTTCTTTGTTACTATATAAATTAAATGAATAATTCTATAAATTTACAGGCCAAGGCGATGAACCCGCGCAACCAACAAACGGTGACACACCCAGCCAGAATGGCCAAGCGAGTGAAACTCCTATGTCAATTACACCAAAAACACCACCAGAACCTACCCCCCAACCCCAACCAACCCCCGAGGCTCGAACCCCTGAAGAGAAAACCCCTGAACCCCCCGCTGCTACACCCAAAGCGGTCACCCCTACAGAGAAGAATGAAGCACCAAAACGTGTGAGAGTACCCCCTGGAGGTTTCTCATCGGGGCTTTGGTAAATAAATTGTATGGGACGGGCGTGTTTAGTAATGCATTAATAATATGTATACAAATATTTTGTACACACAGAAGAGAGTACATGGATTATTATTATACTTTATTTAACCAACAGTGGAAAATTTGCTGTTGTATTATTAAAACAACACATTTTTAGTTGGTTATGTTAAAATTTGTTATTTTCCTTGTTTGTTATTGAAACATTTTAAATAACAGTTTTGTTATTTGGGTCAAGAACAAAAGGATAATAAATGATTTTATTCCATACTATATGTTTAATTTGACCATAAATAATTTTTTTATGGTATTCTAGAAAAAAACATCATACGCAAGTATAGGAAATAGTGTCTGAAATAATGACCGTTTGTTTTTTAGTTTATTCTGTAAATTTTAACTTTAGTTCCCTCAACGAATTTCTTAGAAGCTTAATTAATTTCTTAGAAATTTACCTGGAGGTGTTGAATATATTTTTTTTTTAATTTCAAAATAGTTGTATACTTTGTATATTAATGTGTTATATTCGCAAGCAAGGCCCCGGTCCCAGGCTAGACTCGCTTTTCATTGGTTCTTTAATTCCTCGCAAATGTTTATTTACTTGGATGTATTTTCATAATACGAATTATTTACGCAATTTTTTTATGAAGAATATATTTTTAACATGTACTGTCTCACGGATTTGCTTGTCATAGTGACGTCACAAAGTTGTAGTGTATGAAGGTTTTGTTGTTTGGTTAAATTATGATATGGGTACCTTCCTTTTAGCGTTGTTGGTTAATTTAGGGTCATTGAACTCTAATTATGGTAATGTCGTTTGTCTGTACTACTGTTAACTCTATAGGATTATGGAAGACGAATTAAAAGGTAGATACACAATTTAATAGGTTTTGAACTATATATATATTAAAATAAAGTTACATGAAAAAGTTTTTTTTTTATCGTTTTTGCATTTATATGTTAGAGTTAGCAGTATCATTCAAACAATGTGATGTTGATCTGAGACTGTTTTTAGATGATTGAATCGATTAGGATGTAACTAAAAGGATTGTATAGCTGGACTTAGATTAACTTGAGTGGCAAATTTAACTGTGTTTGACTCAGACTGACGTGTGCCTAAAGTTGTACTTAAGTTTTTTTAGCAACTTCGCTGTTTTAATGTATGCGGCATGCCGCCGGCACACGCGTATGTATATTAATGATAATTGTATTTTTATATGAATTAAAATGCAATAAACATTGATGAGTGTTTTATTTTTTATGGTTTAATGCTAATCAAGTTTTTTTATATGTCGCGAGTTGTATTTCAATAAGGTTGAAAAGATTGGGCTGAATAAGTTTTTCCTTGGTCGTATTATATTAATAAATATTTGGAAGCAGGTTTTTTTAAATTTCGTTAAACTTGTGAGCATTAAATATAATAAAATTGATTACACTTTTTAAGATACATTATTGTTTTTATGGTGTTATAATTTTTTATATCGAGAAAAATCAATTTTAAAAAATATACGTCTTCAAATAATTGTTTTTGAATAGAAACTTTTTTACTTCAGCTCAAAAATATAAAAAAAATAAATGTCAAATTGAAACAGTCAAAAATGTACAAAAAAATGGATAAATAAATCAAAAAGAGTTGTATCTAAATACAAAAATATGTTGACAAATACTTTTATATTTAAATAAACACTTTTTTCATTATTCAAACGAGACATAAAATCAAGCATAAATGAAACAAAGTATGGAAAGTAATAGTCACGTGGGGCGGCAATCGCGTTTCCTGGGAAGGTTGCTCGAGAAGCTGCGCGGCGAACATCGATACTCTACTCTGGATAAAAAAAATTCATTTACATCCTCAGGGTTAGTAAAATATATTTACAACACGCTGACAATATGAAAATATTTTAAAACTAGCGACTCACCCTCGCTTCTCTCGGGTTCGTCCCTAGCTTGATTCTCCATACAAACTTATCCCCATTTTCACCCCCCTAAGGGATGATTTCCGGGATAAAAAGTATCCTATGTTTTCCCAGGGTCTCAAACTATCTTCTTACTCAATTCAATCTAAATTGGTTCAGTAGACCAGAGATTACCCCCTACAACGTCACAAACTTACAAACTTTACGTCTTTATAATATTAGTATAGATAATTGATTATAATGAAATTAAATATAACAAGTTAGAACAACAAGGTATAAGAAAATACCTTTATGAAACAAAATATCTAGACATATGAAAAAAACTCCTCCGAGGCATGATTGTGCAACATCACCTACTTCCCACATTCCAGATTGTTACTGAGAATTTCTTCTGAAAAACTGAATATCTAAAATGCACACAACTTTCGCATTTAAAATAATAGTCCGTGTTATTATATTTAAATTCTAAATTTTTGAGGTCAGTGTAATCATTTAATTTTTAAAAATAGCTTTTTTTTCGTAGAATGAGTGAAAGCGTAGGCTGCGGCAGCACGACCGAAGACGAGACGGAGACGGTGCATGTTGGCGTCTCTAGCTCAACTATAAATGATGTGCAATTTGCTTCTAATATTGATATGAGGTGAACATTGATAACGTTTTAATATTTCCTAAAAATGTATTATTCCGACATATATTAAACTAGCTGACCCGACAGACGTTGTCCGGTCTACACGTCTTTAATTTGAAAATTTCAAACTTTTTTTAATAAGCTAAAACATTCTGGACCATTTTGATGAAAATTATTATTCAAATTGTGAATCTAAACCATTCTCAGATCCCCTTGAACACACAAAAAATTTCATCAAAATCGGTCCAGTCGTTTGAGAGAAGTTCAGTGACATACACACTCACAGAAGAATTATATAAAGATTTATTTTACGAATTTGTGTAGGTAGTTTAACACTGCGTGTAGAACCGATAAACTTTCGATTCGCATCACCTTTTGGAGCCATAAAATCATAATATGTAATACTAGCATTGCCCGCGGCTCCGCCCGCGTTCAGATGACCAAAAACTAAATTCTTAGGTGTTACATATTAGTATACTCTTACATTGCAGTTTTTGTATTTTTCCTCAGAAATAAGATATTTTCCCGCGGTAAAAAGTATCCTAGGATCGCGCGCTACATCGCCCGGTTTATATAGCTTGAGCAGGCGGTCGAGCGATGCGGGGCAGAGGGGATGGACTCGCCGTAGGCATCTCAATGCTCGCCAAGCATTAAAAATGTTTCGCTACTAATTACTTCTAACAACGATATCTCAAAAACTATTCATCTGATTGATTTAGTGTAAAGAGCAATTTTAATCTGCATTAAATGACTAAGCTAACTAAAATATTCATTTGGATAAGGATTAATACCGAACTAAAGAAAATAACTTTGAAAATAACGTAATGTTTTTAATTAAAAATGTTAACATAAAAGTGGTTATTGTAAGTCAACCGTAAGAGATAGAGATATGCTATCGCGGACTTTTTTGTAGCATTTTTATAGATTTTGAATTCTCTAGTACATTACTTAACTGTATCTTTGCTAGTTTACGCGGCGTTCGCGTGGAAAGTTCCCATTTGGCGAGATTTTTTGCGACCTCTTCAACATTTGTCGCCGTATTTCAGCTAATTTACATAAAAGCATAATAAATTATATACCTAAACCTTCCTCAAGAATTACTCTTTCTATTGTTGAAAACCGTATAAAAATCCGTTCAGTAGTTTTCGAGTTTATCGCGTACAGACAGACAGGAGGACAGAAAGACGCGGCCGGGGGACTTATTTTTATAATAAGTATAGATGTGTAAAAACTAAGCAGATAATATAAACTTAAACATTAAAAATAAATAATCCTCCTTTGGGTTTCACCGCAGTCATGTAAAAGTATAGGCTGGATGTATTTTTGATGGTCATTATTCTGTTTTTGTGCTTGATATCCGCTTCTTAAAAACTTAGATACGGCGGTCAATACCTTACTCCAGAACAGCTGCCAGAGTTTTGCAACCAGCTTCATCATTTGGTGGAAGTGATTAGAAACATACAATCATATGCTAAAGTCACTGGGGAATACCCGAGGTTAGAAATTTTACTTACCAGTTATAGAAAAAATGATAATTTTTTTGTTTATACTCGTAGTGTTGTCTTGTACTTAGTTCACCATTTCGGACGCTCTGTTAATGTCTCGATTGATAGGTACAAATATTATGGAGTGCCACCCCTATCTTTTTGTTATTTGTACCTAATTTGATAACAGTATTCTGCATTATCTATGGTTTACGTAAAATATACCTTTCCTAATTCTCCGAGAAGAATGCCTGGGACATTAAAAAGTCAAAACATTGATGGACTGAAGACATTTTCACCAAATTAGAATTTTTGGCCGTAAAGGAAAATGTAAAAAAAACATTATGACAGACAGTATTAATCATAATGAAAGAAATATATTTTTTTCTTCTTTTTACACGTTCTTTTCTATATTTTTGCATTCCGCTGTCTATTAGTGCCTAAGCTTGTATATGGCTTAAACGCATATTACCAAATTAGGGCGCACCAAAAGTAGATCAGACTTTCATTAGGTAGAAAAATCCAAACAAATCTTTCAAAAGGTAAACGTTGGACATTTTGCCTTTCTTTCTTTTGTCCTTTAGAGAACTAGAACGTCGTTTAGACAGGGAAGCTCGTGAAGTAGCCGCTCTCGTAGCGGAAGCGCGGCACGCGCGCGAGGCGGCGTCGCGGGCGCGGCTGCAGCGGCGCGCGCTGCGGGCGGAGCGCGCGCGGGTGCTCCTGGACCTCGCCAAGTTGAGGGATACCGGTAGGTTGTTTGATCATACTTCATATTTCATTGGTTTATCCACTTTTGAATGAAAGCCTTTTTTTATATTGGGAAATGCATTTACGCATACATATAGGGGGTTATGTGGGACTCACCGGCAAAGCCATCAGTACTCACTAAACATAGGTTATTGGATGTTTATTCAATTAAATGTCTTTGTATAGGTAAGAACTAGCATTGCCCGCGGCTCTGCCCGCGTTCAGATGACCAAAAACCAAATACTTAGGTTTTACATATTAGTATACTATTACTCAGAAATGAGATAAATATCTCCCATCATCCCAGGGGAAAAAGGATCCTATGTGTTGACCCGGATAACCAGCTATCATCATACCAAATTTCATCAGAATCCCTCCAGTAGTTTTTCCGTGATGCGGTAACAGACAGACAGACAAAAATTCTAAAAACTATAGATTCGGCCTCTGTATCGATAATAATGTTTATTTCAATAGGATTTTCTAAAAAATATTTAATGTACAGATTTGGCTTTGTTACAATTTTATTATATGTATAGATTATAAGTAAAATGTATAAAGGTTTTTTTTAAAGTTGCATCTTAACCTCTATTTAAATATAATTATGTTTTATGTAATGCAAGAAATACGTGAACTCGAAAGCTCGGTGCGTGCGTTGGACCGTAAACTTTACAAAAGCTGGGAAGCTCTACGCGACAGGAACGACCTGGCAGCCTTTGAGCCGTTGCTTGAAGAAGTTAGAGTGAGATTTTCTTTCAATAAATCACGTTAATATTGTAAAGAAAGTGACCGCTAGTAGGTAATACAATAGAATAGAGCTAAGGACGACAAAACTAACAAAATATATTACATAGTAAATGATGCTATCTAATAAAAACTTAAATAAAATTATCTTTTAGGATTATTTCGCGTATTTATTTTCATTTTTGGCTCCCGACGTTTCGAATGCTTTACAGCAATCATGGTCACGGGAGTGACTAAGGTTTTAGACGTCTCAAAGGCGTTATATACTTGTTACAGACAGTGCCTACCAATAAATATGTGTCTACCAAGAAATAATACGAAAATATAGTTTTTATTTAAAATGTCAAATATTCGAGTAAAGCTAAGAAAGTGTTATAAACGTTTGTTGAAAATGCTTTACATAATCAAAATTATTATTAAAATATTTTTTTTTTATAAATTTGAATATTTATATGTAATTAAGCTGTTTGAAATAATATCAGAACAAGCAAGCTGCCTTAGAATGTCTGATCCGTCTGATAGAGAATCGTAAAGCGTGTATCGGGCGCGCGCCCGCGCCGGCGCCTCACGCACTGCCGATGTCCACGAAAGAAGGTGAGAAATGAGAATCCAATAATTTTTTCTTCCGACTTTAATAAAGGAAGTAAGTATATTGACGACACGTTTGGCTCAGTTTGTAGTGACCCTACTTGCTGTGCCATCGGTCGCGGGTTCGAGTCCCGCTGGGGGCATTCGTTTGTGTGATGAGCACGAATGTTTGTACTCCAGTCATGGGTATTTATATTTATTTATAACATGTATTTAAATTTATATATATTTGTAGTTTATCAACTATCTGGTATTCATAACACAGGCCTCGTAGCTTAACATGGAACTAGATGGTGCTGTGTGTTAATGTCACTACATATTTACATAACTTTCGTACATTTCTTCTGAGGGAAAGACTTTCTATAGAGATCGAATTCTCTATATTTTTATAAGAATAAGTATGATGCGATAGTACTAAAAGTATTATTATCGTTACTTAAAAGTAACAATCGCAAAAAAATTAAGCGTAAAAACAAAAAAAATAAATAAAACCGACTTCAAATAAAACACTAATCGGTGAGCTTTGTGCACCTACTTCGAATATATTTGATTAGGTATCTATATCATTTATATATTACCAATCAGCTATTTTTTACTTTTTAGTGTTTTTTGAAGAGATATTTGTTAGGAAATGTGTATCTATGTCTTTATATATTAATGGGCATATTAATTTTAATATTTATATTTTAAATATTATTAACACCTCCAGGTAAATTACTAAGAAATTAATTAAACTTCTAATGCCCGATTTCACCAACAACCCATAAGCTACCACCTACGTATGGGATCCCTAGCTTAAAAGTCCCCTAAACTAGCCCCTACATTAAATTTCGTTTTACGATTGTCTTTAAGCCCATATTTCGAGCACTTAAATTTAGGGGGCCTTTTAATATTTAGGTGACCCCTAACTGTCGGTGAAACAGAAACTGTCCCTTAACAGCCCCATAACCATGCTTAGGGGATCCTTTAAACTTAGGTGACGTTGGTGAAATCGGGCAAAGAAATCTATTGTTAACTGACACGCCGGCGTGTCCGCGGTCGTGGAGGGATTAATATTTATTTTTTGATAGATACGATAAAAATAGGTGGCATCCATAAGCGACAGGACTCGCGCCGCGCCAGCAAGCGCCGCAGGAAGGAGGCGGCGCGCGAGCCGCGCTCCGTGCCCTTGTCGCTAGAAGCCAGCCATCACAACCCGCAACAGGTGAGAATCATTTTATAATAATTTTTGCTTTTTTTACTAGGGTTCCGTATGAAAATGGTCACATGCTGTACTAGAAGACTATTGAAGCTACATTGCTAAGATTTGATAGGAAAAAATATATATATATAAAAAATTGGGGGTTGCACTTCCTACAATGTAAATAAAACCTCATTCCTGAAAAGAATTAGTCCATTTTAAATAAAACTATATTTTCGGATTATTTAGCGGATTTATTTTGATTTTTGGTTCCCGACGTTACGAAAGCTTTACAGCGCACATAGTCACAGAGGAGACTTAGGTTTTAGACGTCTCGGAGGCGTTATATACGTGTTACAGACTATGATTCCTGTAAAGCATTCGAAACTTCGGGAACCAAAAATCAAAATAAATCCGCTAAATAATCCGAAAATATAGTTTTATTTAAAATGTGAATCTAAGAAAGTATTAACCAGTCCAAAGCTAATCAATGTGAGCCGTGAATGGTATGTTATCTCGTAAACTCCAGGTGACACTGTACATACAAGGGTCGGGCGCCGCCGTCGGCCCCCTCGAGCTGCCCTCGCGCCCGAGTGTACGCGATATATTGTTTTTCAGTATCGATTAATGTTTTATATTAAATATAAAAAATTATTCTATTCAAGTGTTGTTTTATTAATGATGAAATAATGATTTTGTATCATATCGCTGTCAACACAATTATTTCGGTTTTTATCTGTAGTTGTATGTTAAAAAATTATGTTTTTTAATCTGTATGTACATACCTATACAGGTATGTAAGAAATAAAAAAAACGGCATCGTGATTCGTGGCGATAATAAAAGTAAAAAGTCTAAAGTGTAAGTTGTTAAAACATTAAAATACTGTGAGAGAGATGAAAACTTTATAATAAATGGTTGATTGAAGTTGCGCATCGTTTTATTAAATTAACAATTAATTTAAGATAATCTGTGGTTAAGTGCGAAAGCGGTCTTGCGATGCCCCATTAAGACGGAGGAGGTTCGTTAGTAGTGGGTAATACTGGCTTTTTCTAGCTGATTATTCATACAACCTGGTATGGAAGGTTAAAGAAAAACGAGTGGAATGGAGTTTTTTTTTAGTCTTGGTTGCTTTGGATGTTCACACTCTAAACACATAGGTACATACATATATAGAAAAGCTTTATGTAACCCAGCAATATTTTTTTTTATTTTTATATTGTGGCTATAGAATATCACTGTGACCATTCCTGTGTTGTCTATTGTGATCGCTGCGTAATGAACTAGAGTCAACCACTGAACCCTGCAGCTGTAATAAACTGCAGGACTTGCTTAGGGGTACACTCCACTATTTCATATGGATTTTGGGCCTGGATAATCTCCGCAAACCGAAAAATCCGCCAGATTGTTACGCGTATTTACATTCTTATTAAGAAAATCCTTAACCTAAAACTACTTTAAACCAAATAGCCCATGCTATATATAACATATGGTTTTTTGTGCCTGATAAGGTTCCATAAGCTTATCAGGAACAAAATAAACATAATATGTTAAATTACTAAAAAAAAATCATTGTTACATTAATAAAATAAATTAATTATGATAAATTAATAAAATAAAAGATCCCAAAAAGGTATATTACGTATAAAATATATAATAGCGGTATAGCGTTTTCCTTTGAGTGTGACGCACTCGTCCTGTGATTGTCAACAGTTGGAACCGGAAACACCGGTTTTGTCAACGGGCTGCGCGTACGTGATTTCGTTGGTGAGATTTTATGTATAGGTACCATTTTTGCGTGGTTGGATGAATGAATGTATTCGGTATGATACTGTCTTTTATATTTTAAGACATACATGGGTTCGATTCCAGTGCGAAGTCAATGCTGCTATTACGCATGATAATGCAATATGTCGCAGTAGTTATTGCTATTTAGGTACATTGAAGGTGTTCATTTTGACAAGTTTGAAAGAAAAGTAGCTGATGTTAATTTTTCTTATAAGATAGGTATTTATCATCCTTTGCTTTTTTTTAATAATACCTCTGTTAATTTTTTAAATTATTTCAACACCGTTATTACGTATTTGAGAAGTCCACACAAATAAAATTCTGTAATTATTATTTAAATAAATATTTCATAATATTCTATTTTATTCAATATATTTGTATATATTACTTAGGTATATTTTCAACTTCAAATCACGCTTTCTTTTCTTCAGCCTGGGTCGCGGGTTCGCTGCGACTGGGTGCTGCCTCTGATGGCGGTGCAGATTTCACCTGTTACATTAAACAATAATTAGTTTATTGAACTAAATCCCTATATCAATACAATATTGTTATATATTATTATTCTTATATTTCTTCTTAGTGCAAGAGTGGCATATCCTTAAAAAAATATCACAACCGGCAAACAATTTTACTTATTATATTTTAAGGAGGTATTAGAACCATCATATTTTTATTTACTATCTGTTCCGTATAAGTTTATATAATTACATAGTAAATTTTCTAGAAGTAGATATAAACATAATAGTAACGTATTGAGTGATACCTAGTTATAAATTAAAAATTTTAAAAATCCCTTACGCAAATTAATTGTCATTTAAAGATTACACTGGCACGCGTGAAGCACTTAATCGAGTAATCTTACGCCAAAACGCCTTAGATAATTTTGAAAAAGAGCTGATACTCTTACACTGCTGGAGCGATATTAACCAAACATAGCTAAAAACTACCGCAAGGAATCTGGCTTCCAAATGAAAAAAACTGCATCGAAATCGGTCCATCCGTTTGAGAGCTACGATGCTACAGGCAGACAGACACACACACACACACAGACATACATCGACGTCAAACTTATAACACCCCTCTTTTTGCGTCGGGGGTTAAAAATATTATCTCTTTAACATTTTTTATTGTGTCAACCATTATCCATGCAACCTTACGAATTTTAGTTGCCTGGAAGAAAATGTAGGTATTTTTAAAATTTTGTATCCTTTTTAAATTGTATTTTTTATAAATTATATTCTTAAATAGGTACTAAGATTTTTAAAACTGCCTCGGTGGTGTAGTGGCTAACATATACGGCTGCACACCCGGAGGTCCTGGGTGCGACTCCCAGGTCGGGCCAAGTTTAGTTATTGAGTCTTTCCGTATAGTAAGCCTCAGTAACAACCCGGAGTTGGGAAGTTGGCGGTGTTTCACCCCCGTGCCTCGGAGAGCACGTAAAGCCGTCGGTCCTGCGCCTTAACTCTCACTGGTCGTGTCGAGTGGTCGTCCCACCGGAGTATGAGAGTGACAGGAATAGAGAGTGCACGTTGTGTCTGCGCGTACACTTGTGCACTATAATATCTCCTGCGCAGTTGGCTAGTCTCAATAAGATTGGCCGCCGTGGCCGGAATCGGTCAGGAGAACATCATCATAAAGATTTTTAAAATACTATAAAATACATAATATACATATATTCTTAAAATACTAAGGTAGGTACCTCTGCAGGGGGCTGCGCCGCCGGTGTGTCTGCGGCAACAGCCGCGACGCCCACTTCCTTTTTCTCTTCATCAGGAGTGGGCGCTGAGTGACTCAGCTACGAAATGTCAAAATTTACTTATTTGCAATGCGGTGTTCTGTTTTATTTTATTTACTAAGTAGTTATGTTAATAAAAAGTGACAGGTTATACAGTCATAAGTCACTGACTAAACATAGAAATCTCGAAAATGACTTTTCACTATAACTAGGCAGGCTTGCAACAGGACCGAATTAAGGAGACTTAAGGCTAATGTAAGTTTAAATGTATATTTTTGCTGCTAGAGACAAACATGAGTTTTTCTAGTTACCCACATATAAATCAACTGCGCAATAAGAGCTTTAAACTACTCTACATAGTGTTAGAGCTACGTGTCTTCTCCATTCTATGCGATATTGGCGAAGTAAATTGTAAACGACACTCCTAGAAGCCACGAAATAAAACAAGAATTGAACGAAATTACTATTAAAACTATAAACAAAATAAAAGTTAGTTATAGGGAAGTAAAAAATCCCGTATTACCTGTACAGCCACAAAGGCGAACATAGCAACGATAAAAACAAGCTTCATTGTGGAACCACGAAACTGACAATGAGAATGAATTTCAAACAAGGCTTATATAAATGCGGAAACAGTTTCAAGTGAATCAAAATACAGCCTGAAATTACAGTCAATAATCCATCTTGTTTATAAAACAACCGGAGAACAATTAAAATCGTTATCGTTTTATCCGCTCTTTTCAATTTTGTAAGCCAACGAATGTAATTCAAGCGTGGATTTTTTTTTTATAGCTTGACTCATTAGGCAGGTGTTGACAACTTTTAGGTAGTTATGGCAGAAGCCCACCGTGTTTGTAAAGGAGGATCGGAATTTATATTGAGTTTTTAAGCTCTACAAAGAAAATGGTGTGTGTTTTATAGATTTAATATTATTTTTGAACTAAAAAGAGTGCCGATGTCAAAATCTCTATAAAATTATTTACTTGTTTGTTGTTTTGTTCTTAGAGGTGTAAGTAAAATGTTACCATGGGACCATTCATTTACGTACTGTCATGACGTTTCAAAAACTTATACATTATTAGGTACATTAAAACCCATATATTCTCTGGAGATGGACACAGAATCTAAAATATACATCCTAATTATTTTGAATACCTAAAAATAATGTCCTCATTGATTTCGGCCTCGGTGGCCAATCTCACTGTGCAACTAGCCAATTGCGCAGAAGAAAGTTTTATAGTGTACATAATAATGTATGTATATGCGCAGACGAAAGTGGACTTTGTATTTTTTTTACTCTCAATGACCGATGCGGTGCAAGCCCGATGGTTTTAGGTACGTGCTCTCCGAGAATTATATACTGCCAATTTCCTAGATTCCGCCTGTCAGTGACAATTTATTATTAAAAAAACGTAATAACTAGTTACTAGACTGTGCCCGACCCGAGACTCGAATTTAGGGCCCCCGGATTTGAAGCCGAACATGCTAAGACTGGAATAGACCACGGAGACAGTAAAATATAAATAAAATCCGAACAAATTATTAACAATATGTGTACAATAATATATTTTAATGGTGTATATAGTTATATGGTTGTGAGAAGATAAAACACAGAATATCAATTTTACAGTTTTTTTTTATAAATTGTCTTATTTGGTGACAGGGACGCCCAAGCCGGCCGCTGGACCTTCTTACTTTAGTTATTGTTATTAAGCAGGTGAACGTTGACCCAAAAAGAAAAGCTATGAAATTTTATTTTCAGTACCTATGTGATTTTGCGCTTGCAAGCAATATTCAATGAGGTTTTAATGTAATACAAAAACGTAAAAAGAATGTGTAAATAATAATTAAATGAATTATTATAAAGTGTGAATGAAAATAAATTATATTTTCTTATTTCCATAAATTATATTTTTTTATGCTATATAAAAAAAAACAAATAAAAAAGTATAAAATTAAATATTATAAATCGCAAACTTAAAGATAGGTAGTCTGTTGAGTGTTTAAACTGACATTACATGGGTTGCCAGTTTTTTTTTGCAATTATTAAATAGTGATGTGCCACTATTGAAAATTAACGTTAATAAAATCAAGTATCGTTTTTTTATAATAAGTTTTCCTGAAATAATGTGTAGGTACTTATTTAAAACGTAATAATACAAAATTAATAAATATGATATTTAATGATTTAGAATTAATAATGTGAATTTTAATGATACACTTTGAAATATAAAACTTTGAAGCGAATCATCTAATAAAGATAAAAAGTTACGATTCAACAAACTGGTATTGTAGGTACAACACTGCACAAAAGAGCTGGCAGCAATATTTGTAAATATTGACATTTGCATGTGTCAATTTAGTCTGAGATTAAAATAAAAAAAAAAACAGACAATTTAAAAACAATAAGTCATAAAATATTATTTATTTACTGCCATGTTTCATTTCTGAACGCTAAAATGTCAACCTTGGAATGTTGGCATTTTTGGCATGTCAGTGCGCCAACTCGTATCAAATTGGCAGATGTGAAAGCGATGGATTGATTAGAATTAATTAAATAAAAACATACATATATAAATTTACAATCTTAAACTAATTCTAAGCGTTGTAAGATTTCATTTACATTATTTGAAGCCTCAAGTTTATTTAAGAAATGGCTTCAAGGGGAGGTATTATGGTGACAGGTACAAACGGAGCTGATTATGAGCACAGGGAAAAAGTAGCGGCTCAGTATCAATTAAGGTGAGCTTTGGGATTATTTTTACGTGAGATAAGCTGCTGGGTAAAGCTATGTTCAGTGAGAATGTGACACGACATTTCGTCAAGTTCCGTCAAATTATTTTTAGACAAAAGCTTGATCGAGGACAGTTTGGCGCCATTTATTTGAATTATATGTTTTGAATACGTATTCATATTGTACCAGCTGTTTGTTCAACAGGTATTGATTACTAAATACTTAAATTTACGTAAATAAACAATCATCAATTATAATGGTTAAATAATTAATGATACTAGTTACATTTTTATAACATTTCTTTGGTATAACGGTTTCAAATAGTTACATGTACATACATAGGACTTCTGATAAAGGTAGAATGATAAAATATATGGCTGTGCAATAAGTTATATTGTGCATTACCTAGAACTTGTGATATTTTGTGATATGCTTATAACGATATTAAAAAAAATACTATCATTAAGTTAATGACACCCTTGTTGAAAAGAACTCAAGCCATTTAAAATCTCATTATAATTTTATTATATCAAAATCTGGGGGAGTTTATAATAACAAATGTAATTAGTAGGTATAGTGAATTTAATAAAGAGGAATAATCTTATTATAACCTTACATTTTTCAGTGCACTGAACAAATCTCGACTAAAATATTGTGTATTTTTCCATCATGTGCTGTTCCTGGCAATGCTAGCTAAACTATCTGCAGATATTCTTGACAAGCTTGACATATTTATACTTGAAATAGAGGAACTACAAATACCACCGGTTAGTATTTATTTAAAGTTTTGTATCAATTATTTTTTTTAAATCGGTCCACTTTCAGTGATTTCTACTACCCAATAAACCTTTTTAAATTATGACAGAAGTAGGTAAAACTATTGACATATTGGGCATGATTGAATATCAGGTCCCAGATTACATAGTAAGCAAATTTAAATAATGTTTTGAAAAAAGTTTTTAATTATTTTATAAAATAAAAATTATATGACTTTTCAGCCGCTGTGGTGGGAATATTTTTGGTCCTTGTCACTTCTACTATCATTTGTTGGCCTCTCAGCAATCAAACGTAACAATATAAAGTTCCTTCGTCAGTACATGTATGGTATTACCGCACTTGGTATGGGACCATTATTGTATTGTGTCATATATTATTGTGGAGACGTGTACCAATACTTGACGTTTGATGAAGATGAAGATGATTATGATGATATTCAGTTGTGGCAGGTTTGTTGAATTTTTACATGTATTTTATTAATATTAAAGTCCTAATAATACAAGGTTGATTATTGAATAATTACTTCTGTGCCAAAAGATTGCACATTACAAAACCCTTGTAGTTTGAAAGTTCTTTCTTACTTTATAGTGTAACAAAATCTCGTGTGCTGGCTCAGGAAACTGAGTGAAGCGGGTTCAAATCCCAGGTCTTGCACCTCTGATATTTTCATTTGTGAATTATTTCCAACATAATTACCGCTTGTTTTACGATAAAAGTAAACATCGTAAGGAAACCTGCATGTCTAAGAAAACATAGACAGTTTTTGAAAGACGTGAAGCCTGCCAACCTGCACACTTGGCCAGTGTGGACTATGGCCTGATCCCATCATATTGAAGGGAGGCCCATGCCCAACAGTAATGTTAAAAAAGGCTGAATACACAATCTATTAATTAAAATTGAATTTTTGAGAATCACCATTGGTAAAGAAATTGCATAACAAAAATTCTAACTGAAAAATAAATACATTTTATATCCTATTTTGTTTCAGGGCTATCCCTATGGACTATTATGGTATGCATTCGTCCTCCTCGCTTCTCAAGTCCACTTTTTCCAGCTCTATTTCTCATACAATCTGTTGAAGGCGTGGCGAGCGCGAGGCTCGTACAGGAAAGCTGAATAAATATATAAAATTTAGTTTTTGTGTGATGTCCATTTGTTGTATGGGTTTTTGTTACTTGTTTTTATAAAGTTGGATTTTTTATTCTGTGTCAGGTAGTTAATAGTTTTGGTCCAATTTGGTCAATAATTACATGTAATGTTATAGAAAAGTATGAATATGTATTTGTTTCACATTTATTGCCAAGCTTTTCTGGGTTGTGCGGTGGATGTTCTCAATATGATGCAAGGTTATGAAATGCCGCCTCTAGGTAATTTTCATTAGGGTTCCATAGGCAAATGCAAAAACAGAGACCGTACAATTTCATCATTTCTATCTGTAAACTGTGACATATGCATGTCAAAGTAATTTTACTCAAATACTAAATTAGAATTATATTATTTGAATAATTCTGTAGCCATTTGTTAAAAGTAAAAAATTAGGGGTGGCTCTCTCTCCTGATATAACTGAGGGATGAAAAAACAAATTGTCTTTTAGTAGCTAGTACAACTATATACTAATTTTTTTCTTTCTTTTTTGGTGTTTTAAGGGAACTTAGCAGTTGTGTTATTATTGGCCAAATCGAGAGCAGCCACTGTATAGTGTACAATGTACATGTAGATGGGGATGGTTTATTTAATCTAGAATTTCCTTCTTTAGTCGTTCGTTTAGGGCTGAACACGGAACTCATTATAGATAAATAATAAACTGATTAATAAATAAATGTCTTTTATAAACATCTTTGTATAAATATATTATTAAAATTTTATTTTTAAATATTTTGGTACTATGTAATAGCTCCAAATTCCGCCCCTTTGTACCGCCTGATGAGGCCGCATCTTTGCACCGTACAGCCCTGGAGTTTGTATCATATTAGTTTTAAAAATATTCATATATGTAATTCAAATTTAAATTTTTTACTGTGCTCATTGTTGTCTAGACAAAATAAATTAAATGTGTATTTTCTGAACTGTTATACATAAATCAATATATAATATAATAGTAGCTCGCTCATATATTTGAATATCAATACAGACAGTTCATTTAATTTAAATGTATTTACAATTTGAAAGTGCTTTAAATGATTATTTTCGTTAGGTTTTCTTTGATTTAATTAATGAGTGAATTAATATACTACGTATATGTTATACGAGTATAACAATAAGTCAAAAACAATGTTAGTTACATTTTTAATTTATTGTGGATTCTATCCGTCCAGTTGTTTTATTAATATAAATGAAAGGAAATAAATAATGAAAACTATAAAATCGATCTTATACAATATTTTTCTATGGGTTTTTCTATGATTATGAAGTATTTTATAATCTAAGCACATAAAGTATTTTATATGGCTTAAAATTAGACCAAAGTGGACTAAAACTGGTGCAATAATAATATGAGTCAAGTTGCACTCTATCTCTGTCTGGATTTTATTATTTTTTAATGGATTGTGTTTAAATTCTTTTTTTTTTAAATATCTAGTACATTTGACACCTGTCAAAACTTTTTGGAAGTAAAATGATTTGTTCGCTAAAATATACAAATACTTGTTTTTAAATATATTTATTAAATTGTAAATAATAGTGTTTTAGATCTTGTTACACAATTTCTACATAACCTGCCTTTTGTTGTCTGTTTTGTATCTGCATTTCTCTGTTATAAACGTTTCTTACAATAATGTACTTGGTTTCTTTGCACTGTTTTGTTGAATTATTTTACAACTCACTTGTTAAATAATATACAATACCAAAATGGACAAAAATTATATTAAGAGGCTGATTTTTGGTATATATTGTTTTAAACAAAAAAAAAATATGTTTATTAGAGATAATATTATTTAAACAAATATTGATTAAGTTGAATAATAAGTTTTGAGAATGTTTTGAAATCTATTCAATAAAATTATACTATGGCCTATATGTAACTAAAAAAATCTTTAAATATATATCAAACATTTTGTCAGAGTTGCCAGAATATAAAAACATGGCATGTTATCTCTGTAGTTTTTTTATTAATGATCTACATTTCCTAACACTGCCGCGAGATGTGGATTGAATGTTGATATTTTGTTTTGTAATAAAAGACAGCTCTAATTTTGTTAAATATTATATGTATAATAAATACTGATATTTAACCCACTGTAAATATATTATAGAATAAAAAATTGTGAGAAAATTATTTATTTCATCGTCTCGATAAATTTGTCTGTCAAAAAAAATAAGGATTTAAATTTCGTTGTGCAAGTAAGAGAAAAAATGGAGGACAGGTATTATCCACTCTTAACTTTGTCTGTTTCTAAAATACAAGCAATTTTTCTAACAATGAAAAACAAAAGTCGTAGCACTGAGAATGTCAGATGTGAAAAAACTTTTTAGCTACACAATGTAAGCATTATGTTTGGGTTTATAATAAATATTTTTCAGAAATTATTTTTATTAACGTATTAATAATTAATATAGTAATAAAATTTTCTTTTATAGCGCTGTTTTACACTAAAAAGAATGTTTATTATCTATTGGTATAGTACAAACAAATTTATAAATACATAACAATTTTATAAAATATGACTGCCGTCGCTATCTGCCTCGCTCACACTTCGTAAAATGACTTTCGCCGTCTCTGTCATTTTAACGTCACTATGTATCTGAGCGGTCACGTGAGTTCAGTACTTTTTCCTCATCCCAAAAGTGCCCAACGTGCCTAAAAAAGTTTTCACTTCAAAATGGGAAGAAATCGAGTTTAAAAATATGAGCAGATAAATAATAAGTTTCTATTTAAATTAATCTTCCAAATTAAGATGGCGACACGAAAGCTAGACATTAAAAATGAACATTAACTTTCTAATCAAAACTATTATTTTCTTAGATCTAGATAACATTCTAGAGTGTAGATAATTTCAGATTATTTGTTATTTTGTTTTGATTCGACCGACCGACGATTCGTATACGTTACAGCAGGGATGGGAGGAAAACATCCAAGTTTAACAAAAAATATTGTTTAAAATGTCGAGCATTCGCGTGAACCTACAAAACTAACGAAATATTGAAACGCAAAATTTGATTTTCTTTTATTTTATTTAATATTTTATGCGAATGAAACATTTATCAAATGAATGAAACCATTAACCGGAAATATGTTAAAATGTATTAACGGTCATTTGAATTTTTTTTTTCATTTTTTTTTTAGGATAGATAGTTCTCAGTTCAGTATCGTATCAAAATCACATATTACTATATTACTGGTCTCTTAAAGAAGGGAAGTTCTTTACTCTCTTAGACTTCATCCATCTCTTCAGCGCAAGCGCAAGAATTGAAAGTGTTTACATGTGTGTGCCAATACCTCCACAATACTCAAAAATCGCACAAGATATGCATAGTGCATACAACGGGTTAAGTAGTAAAAAAAGAGATAGAAATAGTCGTTTTCTGTCTTGCTTACTCCACAGTACTTTAACTTATGTGTCACGCCCATGTCTATTTTTTTTAATTATCATATTTGACATTGACAGATAATGTTCAATATTTACACGTTTACAGATTATAGATTCTATAATTATATTATATCTATAATAGTAGGGGAGCCCAAGAGGGGATTTTTTGTAGTTACTCAAGCGCGGCAAATGAACATAAAAGAGGTTACCTTGCACTCTATTGAGTACTTTCACCATAATATAAGTCTTCTATATAAAGACGCGCGTCTAGGGAAGCCGATCAAAATGTTTAAAAAATGTTTTGATACCGTTGTTTGTACCGATGTTTGATACCGGTTTGAAACCGTCAGATTAAGGTGTGGTAGGCTAGTCACATCCTGAAAAGTGTCCAATTCAATAATCTGCCAATTTGCACAAGCCGAAGAGACAAAAATCGACTAAAAAGTTTATGATGATTTTTGCTTTTTTTCAAGTATTTCTACCTTATCAAAACATTTTTTAAACATTTTGATCGGCTTCCCTAGACGCGCGTCTTTATATAGAAGACTTATATTATGGTGAAAGTACTCATTAGAGTGCAAGGTAACCTCTTTTATGTTCATTTGCCGCGCTTGAGTAACTACAAAAAATCCCCTCTTGGGCTCCCCTACTATAAGTCACATATTATCTGGGTAATAAATTTGGTGTCTATTTTAGATAAATATATTAGAGGTTGCAACAAGCAACGCATAGATTGTATTTAATTAGTTTTCTAATTGTACTATCAGTGTGTGAAATGAAGTAAATATATAAATTCATTATATTGAATTTGTTTTATTTTTAATCGTATTCAAAAAAGAGAAGGTCCTCAAAAAATTATTGGGTATGTTTTGCGATTCGCCTTTTATTAATAAATTTTCATATTTTATTAAAATGGCAACACCTTAAGGGATCCCCAAATGGAATAAAGAAAACCTTATTATGAAATTACTTCTAATACCAAAGTGAGACGAGCCGAGGGGATCGGCTTTGTCGTTCGAAAGGTGGTCTATTTTTTTGCATTTCGAGTCGTCGCATCTAGATACCAAAACGACTCTGCCGCTCCTTGTGACGGGGAAGTATCTGTTGTAGTTGTAGTGAATAGTACAAGTTCTTTTAGAACAATTTCCAGGGCTCCAGGTTACAACCTTATAACTACAACCTTATAAATACAAAAGATAAAAAAATAACTAGACAAATAACCGAGCAAAGTGAGGGCGTGTCGTTAGCTTAATTAAATTCCTATGTTAAATATAAACACTCAGTCAAAATCATTTACTCTTGTAATTACTTGTGAGGGACAAGTGACGCCAGACGATCAACTTATCTTGCATTCAAAGAAACAAGTACAATGCAATAACAAAAATATCTTTATCAAATAAAAATTTATACTAATTAATGATAATTCAGCCAATAATAACAGAAATCGACGTCTTTCGAATATAATTAATCAATTAATTATTACCAGCTGTTAGATGCGTAAGACTTTTTGGGTGTGGGTGTTATAATTTTATCGATTATGTATATGGCCTTTTTATGGGAGAGTGAAGACTGAGGAGTTTAACTTTTGGACTTATTCGATCGATTGTTATTCAGATATTTGCTTTACCTATTCCATTCTCGTGCGACGGTATCAGATAATTTAAAATTTATTTGGTGGAATACACTACAATAAGTGACTAATTTAAGCATACAATATGAATGTCTGAGTGTCTAATTGTGTTATCCAATAACAATCAGGAGGACCCTGACCGATTTTGGCAACGGTGGGCAATCTCACTGAGACTAGCCAGATGCGCAGGAGATATTATAGTACAGCTCGTGTTGCTCAGACACAAATGCACTCTCTATGCCTTCACTCAAATTCCAGTGGGACGACAAATCGATCCTCGCGGTGAGAGATCATGTGCAGAACTGACGCGTCGTACTCGAACCCGGGACCGTCGGAACAGGAGCGAGGTAGTTATACAGCTAAATGTGGGTATGACTCGTATTATCACTTGACGAAAACGAGGAACCTTAAATTACAATATGTTTCGAGTTGTTCTTAAAATTATTTAAATTAAAACGTAAGGAAAAAAAAGCAGTTATGTCGGTAAAAATATAAATTTATTATGAAGTATTTACTATTTAGTATTTTTTAATACTTAAAACGGAAAGTGGAGTACAGAAAGGCTTGACCATCCCCTTACTCAGTGAACCACCATATCTATCCTCTAGATCCTTAATGTGAAGATATTTAATCAATCTTCATCAGCTATTTGTACTTCATCATCAGACTCCTCAGCAGTGGGCGGACTCCCCGCGTCTGCGCTCTCAGGCGTTGTTCTCCTCCATTTCGCGCGACGATTTTGGAACCACGTCTTAACCTGTTAAAATATAATTTATGATCATTCCAAAAGGCTAAGGAGAGTTCTAATTTGTTACATTTACTTATCTATACCTAAAATTTATTGTGCTCGTATAGCAAGAAATGGTAGCAAAATTAGTTTTTCGAGAGTATCTTCTTTATCGCCTCTAGAAAAAACTAACTTTTGTACCGAAAGGCAATTATAACTTTTTGTTTTGATATTTCAAAATATTTAATACTAGCATTGCCGGCGGTTCCGCCCGCATTCAGATGACCAAAAACCAAATTCTTAGGCTTTTCTTATTAGTTATACTTTTACAATGAAGTTTTTGCATTTTTTCTCAGAAATGAGATATTTTCCCGGGGTAAAAAGTATCCTATATGTTGAGCAGGATAACCAGCTATCATCATACCAAATTTCATCAAAATTTGTCCAGTGGTTTTCTCGTGATGCGGTAACAGACAGACAGACAGACAAAAATTCTAAAAACTATAGATTCGGACTCTGTATCGATAATAATGTCTATATCATTTAGATTTTCCAAAAAATATTAAATGTACAGATTCGACTTTGTTACAATTTTATTATATGTATAGATTACTAATATTTATAGCTGTGTCAGGTTTTTTTAAAAAGGGCAGCTGATTTCATGTACATTTTTAGGGTTCCGTACCCGAAGGGCGCCAACGGAACTCTATTACTAAGCCTCCGCTGCCCATGCGTCCGCCCGTCCGTCTGTCAGAGGACTGTATCTCATGAACCATAATAGATAGAGAGTTGAAATTTTCACAAAGTACGTTTTTCTATTGCAGCTCTAACAACAAATAATAAAAATAAATAAAAATGAAAAAATAAACATACTAGAAACATTTTTTTAATTTTCGTCATCGATCGTCGATGTTATTATACTACATACATAACGTAAAAGTCATATTAATAAAAAGTACATTTACGATGGTACGGAACTCTTCGTGTGCGAATTCGACTCGCACTTGACCGATTTATAATTATTATATTTTTTACCAACTTTAATGTAATTGAGCTAAAACAAAAATAGAAATCGCACCTGCCGATCGCTAAGCCGTAAAGACACTGCCAGCATCCTCCTCTCATCGGGGCTTAAATATTTGCTGGCACGGAAACGACGCTCTAAAGCGCTGGTTTGGGCTGCACTAAACCGCACTTGACCGCCCTTCCGTCGAATACCAACACCCCACCACGGGTTACAGCAAGAGGGTGCTGAAAAAACAATTTAATACTAATCAGTGGAAATCTAATAATAATACTAGCATAATAATATACGTGTAATATCTAGTGTCCGTGATCAATGCCGGATTTAACATTAGCGCCGCCCTGGGCATAGTAAAAAATGAAAATCTATTATCGAAATTTTGAATAAAATCTAGAAAGTTTAATTTTTTTATTATTATTTTTTTCAAAAATGCAAAGAAATAATTTATATACATATTATATTAATAATATATCAAATTTTATGAAAAACTCATTGTTTTTATTTTTCATTTTTTGTAAAATAAATAAAGCCTTTTTGATAACGCAAAGAAAAATATTTTCCCATCCTCCGAATTTGTCGTTGTCTGAAGTTGCCACCTCTAAAAATTTGCCGCCCTAAGCACTAGCCCCGAGAGCCTAGTGTAAATCCAGCACTGTCCGTGATACATACACAAAACACAAAAAAAACTCTAGCGTAGATTGTTAGTTGCCTTTAACTATGCCTAGCGGTCATACAGATACAAAGTATATGAAGTGTAATTTTTATACAAGAAAATATGTAATGTGACTTATGAGTATCTCTCACTCATATTTTTTAACATTTTATCTGTGCAGTGTGCTTTAAACTGGTGGCGAGATTGAACAACTTAGGTTATTTAAACGCGAGCAGAACCGCGTGAAATAACTTAGTTTAATTAATTTGATAACATGTATTTTTTTGGGGTCAAAAGTTTGTAAAGATTCAGATTAATTTATTATAATAAATACAAAATACATACAAATATATGTATGTACCTACATAAACATACGTTCAAAAAGTCTTTAAATGCTGTCTATCTTTTTTATATAAAACTTGTGTATGTCCGTGGTTTCGCGCGCCTAGTTTAATTATGCACTACTAGGTATATCTTTAAAAATTGCAATGCATGTGGTACTCTGATGTATAAGCTATATCACTGCAAAGTTTCATCAAAATCTCTTCAGTAGTTTCTGGGTGAAAGAGAAACAAACATACATCCATCCTCACAAACTCTCGCGTTTATAAATTTTTAAGGATCTAAAAGAAGAGAATGTTAAAAACAATATAGATATTTTTTTTCCTATCATTACATAACACCATCTAAAATGAATTGCTATAATGTAGTCGAAAACATTCTTATCACAATCATTGTAAATATTATGGTCCAGGAGCCAGGTAAAACTTTGGTCAATTATTTCATCTCAAGGGATAATTAGTGGAATGCACCAGAGAGTTGTATCATAAAGCTTTGTGAACGTCAGCTGTGTATCCTTGGGTGGGATGAGCGGTGGTAGCCTCCCACGTACGAAATTAAAAAAAAAAAAATGCAATGATTTCCTCATAACTGAAAATTTATCTGATGGTAGCTTATATGCAAATATGGATAAATATATATGTATGTCAGCTGGCTGTATCTCGGAGGTGATACCATCAGTTAATACTTTGAAAGTCATAACGCAGCGTCTATCGCCGAAATATTGGGTTAGCAACAATTTAATAAATCAGATAAAAGAAATGATAGAATTTTTTTTTTCGTGCGTGGGAGGCTACCGCCGCTCATTCCACCCACGGAACCGCACGTTCACGGAGCTTTATGATACAACTCTCTGATGCATTTCACTAATTATCGCTTAAGAGGAACTTGGTCATGTAAATCTGTCACCGGCTCCCGGACTATTAGATTGTCCTAATTGTAAAATATGATAACTATCGATATATGATTGATGATACAATCCAGTGATAACGGAACATTATGTTTTTATTACTTTATTATCAATAAGATACTTTTAATTTCTTAATAACATGCAAGTATTGAAAAGTACGATTGTTGAAGTGTGCTTTATTACTCTTCTATACATATAATAAAATTCTAACTAAGTCGAATCTGTACATTAAATATTTTTTGGGAAATCTTATCGAAATAGACATTATTATCGATATCGATATCGATACAGAGGCCGACTCTATAGTTTTTAGAATTTTTGTCTGTCTGTCTGTTACCGCATCGCGGAAAAACCACTGGAGGGATTTTGATGAAATATGGTATGAAGATATCTGGTTATCCGGGTCAACATATAGGATACTTTTTACCGCGGAAAAATATCTCATTTCTGAGAAAAAACATTAAAAACTGCAATGTAAGAGTATACTTATATGTAAAACCTAAGAATTTGGTTTTTGGTCATCTGAACACGGGCGGAGCCGCGGGCATTGCTAGTCCTTACATAAAAAGCTTATTTGAGAGAAATTCCATTCAAATCATATATTCATCACACTTCTTCCTTGGTAAATACTATAAAGGTATAACTTTTTAAGAAGCTAACAAAAATATATCTATTTCTTGGTTACGTTGTGTATGTATATATGAGTCTATATGAGTCTATTGACTATAATCTCGATCGTGGTCAAAAGTGAGATGTTGTAGTGTAAAAGCCTTTTATTTTAATTCATTTATTTTGCAGTAGAACTTTTAAAAGCTGTCTAAAAAGCTCTATTTAATTCAATGCTCAAATGTAAGATTTTGTTGTATTATTATGGACATATGTATGTACGTGTTTATAGTTGTATATTATGTATAGATCTTTAACTACCTCGGTGGTGTAATGGCTAGCATATACGCTGCACACTTGGAGGTCCTGGGTTCGAGCCCCGGGTCAGGCCAAGTTTAGTTATTGAGTTTTTCTGTATAGAAGTCTCAGTAACAGCCCGGAGTTGGGAAGTTGGCGGTGTTTAACCCCCGTGCCTCGGAGAGCACGTAAAGCCGTCGGTCCTGCGCCTTAACTCTCACCGGTCGTGTCGAGTGGTCGTCCCATCGGAGTATGAGAGTGACAAGAATAAAGAGTGCACGTTGTGTCTGCGCGTACACTTGTGCACTATAATATCTCCTGCGCAGTTGGCTAGTCTCAATGAGATTGGCCGCCGTAGCCGGAATCGGCTAGGAGAACATCATCATCATCATAGATCTTTAGTGTGTTACATATATATTTATATGTTAATTTTTTAATCGTTTTTCTGCATTTTCTCTTTCTGTCCCGTTACTTAAATCTATATCCCACATACATGGTTTAACTAGATGAGATCTCTTTAGAAATACCACCACCATATATCATACATCCACCTCTGTCCTCATCCCATTCTATGGATTTTCTTGTTTGATTTTTAGTGCAATAAAAAATATATACATAGAACGATTTATTTGCACTAATTTACATGAAACTGATAAGCGGAGTTTGTAGAGACGCATATTTGTTTTGTTTTAGGTATTTAATCATATAGGTACTTATTAATTTGAATTAATAATTGTTAATATTACCACAGATGACATAATACTATTCTATTACATAAATATAAAATATTATTTTCGATGGTTGACATTATTTCATTATCTTAATGATGTTTTAAATAAAACTATCTAAGGTCTAAAACCTTAGTCTCTTTCGTCGCCATGATTGTTATAAAGCATTCGAAACGTCGAAAATCAAAAATCCAAATAAATCCGCCAAAAAATTCGAAAGATAGTTTTATTTAAAATGTCAAATATTCGCGTAAATCTAAGAAAGTATTAATACTATATTCCTTGGTGAACTTGTTTTTATCATTTTAGTTAGCTTTTATCACGGTAATTGTGACATTACCGTGCTTTTAAGTACCTTACAATATTTTTAACTTTTAACTTTAATTGGGAACCAAAAATCCAAATAAATCCGCGAAAAAATCCGAAAAGATAGTTTTATTTAAAATGTCAAGTATTCGCGTAAATCTAAGAAAGTATTATTATACAGAGATGTTATACCTTTTTGAAATCCTTGTTATGAGCCCTTTAATTTGATACCCATATTGCAAAAAAAGAAGATAAAAAAATCACATTAAACAATGAAATCTAGCAGTGAAGAATATGGGGGATATTTTTTTTTATATCACCTATCTAAGAACACTTGGACTAATGAGGCGAATCTAACGATACCTTAATGAGAGAAATCCATCGAGTGTTTTGGAAGATATGAGGGAATAAACAATATTACAAACATACAAAGATAAGCGCGAAAAACATAACCCTCTCCTTGCAGTCGGGTAAAAATACTGTTCATGAACTACGCAATATAATAGTTTTATTATTAACTAACATATCAATTTGTCAAATGTCCATTTTAAAATTATTGTGATTATTTATCGTAATCCACAGTAATATTATCTATCTTATAACCGCTTTAAACTACTAGATTTGGGCGATTACTGCAAAATCGATGGACTAAATTTGTTATCAGAATAAAGGTAAATACCTTAAAATATTTATAACTTGTAATACAAGATAAAATATGTTTAGTTCATATGATCCCATTAATCCCATATATATTTCAAATTTTTCTATTGGCTAAATTACATTGTAAAATTGCATTTGTACACTAATATTATAAAGAGGTAATTTTTTTAATTTTGTATGTAGCGGGTGATCTCTAAAAATACTGATCCGATTCAGAAAATTCTATCGCTCATACAAAGCTATAGATACTGCCGAGTGTTAAAGGCTACTTTTTTATTCCGATAAATATGTTTTTAGTGTCAGAAATCATAATAATTTTAATTGAAGTCGGAAATAGAATAATTAAAATGTATAGAAATTGAAGCATAGATCTAAAATATATCCTTTTCCTTGAATACTTTCTCCTGTGACCGTTTTTGCTGTAAAGCATTCAAAATGTTAGGAAAAGCGTTTACGCATACTAAGTGGTTAAGTAGGACTTAATGGCTGACTCAACTAGCAAGGCCAGTACTATTCATTAAAACCCAACAGAACCTCTTAATAGGGCGTCGCAGGATCGCTTACGCACTAAATCACGATGCCCTGACAGCAGGCCTGCCGAAGCAGAGCACAAAACCAAGAGGTTGCTCTCACGGTACACTCTGCTGTTAGAGAGTACCAGGAGTAACCCGCATGGAACACAGCCCATCGAAGTGGACCACCTTCCAGTGTCTCTTGGCTTTGCACTTCTCTGGGTCACCGGATGCTAATGAGACCCTCCACCACAACAAGGTGAACGCACATCGGGAGGGAATGTTCGGCGACACCTGCTTCGTCGTGGTTAAGAGCTGATTTTTTTTATGATTATTATATGGGACTGCCCATGACATAGTATAATATTTTTAATAAAAAAAAAATATAAGAACGTTTTAGATTAGGCGAATATAATAATAGCAAAAAAAAATGTACAACCGAATTGATTACTTCCTTTTTTTAGTAAATTTTAAACGTATAAGAAGTTTTGGTGAATATTTCTTTTATTTTATATTATTTTTTTATGTTATATCTGTATGTAACTTCTTTGCGGTACAACGAATGAAGGAATTTGATTTGAAATCAGACATAACGGAGATAGACTTGGATAAACACACATTTTTTTGACCTACCTTCTTGCAGTTTAGATATAGTGATAATGAAATTTTGCCGTTTTAAATTTAGACCTATATTTGTTTTAAAAAAAATCTTATCGATCGTAATTTTACTGTTCAGCAACGCGCAAGTACGCACAGTCAGACGAAACGTTTGAAAAATTTACAAACAAAAATTAACCCTGAAAATCTGTGTAGATTTTTCTAGTCATAATATGTCTATTCCATATGTTTTAGATTCCTTTCTAAGACCCTAGTTTTGGTAAATCCTACACATCATTCTACTGCAGATATTATATTTTTGAAGACATAGAAACTTGAAGATTTGCCTCTGCTCCCTAAAAGAACTACATAATACAAAATTTTCTATTAAAAAAAAAAAAAATTGTGTTATAACCCAGACTTCTTTTTTTTTTTCAAAAACATTCAGTTATATAATTTTATCAAACAGGATCGATTTTTCAAAGATTTTAAAAAGGTGGAGGTGTTACGTTACTCGTATACTTCCGCCGTTTGTGAACCGATGCTCATGATTACTTTTTGCTAAAAAGTTTATATGTGCTTTACAGGTCGCCTGATAAAAAAAAACATCCTTAGGGGTACTTTTTTCATTAATAAAGAAATATTTATAGTCTTTAGCTATAGCACCATTGTTATTTACTATTAGCAATTAGCATTGTCCGCGGCTCGATAATGTTCAGATGACCAAAAACTAAATTTTTAGGTATTACCACAGATCATATAATACTATACATATTAGTATACTCTTACATTGCAGTTTTTGTATTTTTTCTCAGAAATGAGATATTTTCCCACGGTAAAAAGTATTCTATATATTGATCCGGATAACCAGGTATCATCATACCAAATTTCATCAAAATCTGTCCAGTGGTTTTCTCATGATGCGATAACAGACAGACAGACAAAAATTCTAAAAACTATAGGTTCGGACTCCGTATCGATAATAATGTCTATTTCAATTAGATTTTGAAAAAATATTTAATGTACAGATTCGACTTAGTTACAATTTTATTATATGTATAGATTTTGGTTTTAGTTATCAACAAATTGTTGTTAGAATAACCAAGCATGCGTTTTCCGATGAGTCCTTTATTTTTTGCGCCCACTAACTGCGGGTACAGACTGTACCGTGTAATCAAGGATAATTTATAATAATTAAACGTTAGGCATACATATTATTATGATGGTTTTTTAACTGATTTAAAAAAAAAAATTGGCTGTTTTTATTATCTCCATACCCACTATCTTGCTAATTATAAACCAATTTTTGATTCTCGTTTACTGAATAAGTGACAAAATAAATCCACTAAAAGCATGGAAAAATACGTTTTAAGTCGGTTTCGTGTTTTATGTAAAAAAGTCATTACATGAAACTTTGTACTTAATCAATAATCTATATATTGGCTTTATCTTATCTCGCAGCTAGATTTCTTTTAGTTGGTGATATTTCGTGTACTTGTTTGAATTATTGATTTTATCTTAACATTTTAAGTTGTAATTGTTTTGTTACTAATTCGATATTCTTGTAATGCGCTTTTGTAATTTCAATTTTTAATGTTTTTTTTTTAAATTGTAGAAAGATAGTGTTAATGATTTCCAAAGAGTTGTTATCTGTTTACATTAAAAAATATGCAAGTCTAAAACAAAATAATGACATATACCTGTCATAGTATATATGAAATATACATAAGGGGCATTCCACGCCAAATCGGACGGTTTCAAAAAATTTTTTTTGATTTCCTTAATATTTTGGTATTATTGGTACCTCTCAAAAGAAGGTTCTTGGTAAATTTTGTGATTTTTTTTATCAGTGCTTCAAAAATATCTAATTTTAAATTAAATTTTTTTCTTTTTAAAATTCGAAAAAAAATTGTAATTATGGAAGGCTCACTATCGGACTGGACTTAAAAGTTGAATGATGGATAGAAGTTTAAAATAGAAAATTTTCAAAAAAATCGAAGGATACACTCAGTTTTAAAAACACAATTAAAATCTTAAAATTCAAAAATTTCGATTAAAACCATTTTAAAAAATTTTTTTATATATTTTTTGTAAAAGTCATCTAAAAGCAAAAATTTCGAAAAAAAAAGTTGAATTTCGACCATTATTAAGAAAATTATGAGCAAACAACCAAAAAAAAGAGCGGTTTTGAACCTGTGATCAAAAAAATCTCAAAATTTACCAGGAAGCCTCTTTTGAGGTGTACTAAAAATACCAAAATATTAAGGAAATCAAAAACATTTTTTTTTGAAACGGTCCGATTTGACGTGGAATGCCTCTTATGTATATAAAAAATATCAAGAAGGAAACGCAAATGAATCCTGCATGTAATATATTTTAGAAATCTAATTAATAAAATTAATAACTGGAATAGATAAAACAAATATCGACTTAATAATTCATAGTGCTACTAGCATTGCCCGCGGCTCCGCGTGTGTTCAGATGACCAAAAACCAAATTCTTAGGTTTTACATATTAGTATATTCTTAAAATGCAGTTTTTGTATTTTTTTTAGAAATGAGATATGTTCCCGTGGTAAAAAGTATCCTATACGTTGACCCGGATAACCAGCTATCATCATACCAAATTTCATCAAAATCATTCCAGTGGTTTTCTCGTGATGCGGTAACAGACAGACAGACAGACAGACAAACAAAAATTCTAAAAACTATAGATTCGGACTCTGTATCGATAATAATGTTTATTTCAGTAAGATTTTCCAAAAAATATTTAATGTACAGATTCGACTTAGTTACAATCTATACAATATAATAAAATTATAACTAAGCCGAATCTGTACATTAAATATTTTTTGGAAAATCTTATTGCAATAGACATTATTATCGAAACAGAGACCGAATCTATCGTTTTTAGAATTATTGTCTGTCTGTCTGTTAACGCATCACAGAAAAACCACTGGAGGGATTTTGATGAAATTTAGTATGATGGTAGCTGGTTATCCGGGTCAACATATAGAATACTTTTTACTGCGGGAAAATATCTCATTTCTGAGAAAAATACGAAAACTGCAATGTAAGAGTATACTAATATGTAAAACTTAAGAATTTGGTTTTTGGTCATCTGAACGCGGGCGGAGCCGCGGGCAATGCTAGTTTTATTATATGTACAGATATCAACAAATTGCCTTTAAAGTGGTTGACATTACGACCATACAATAATTCACTATTCAGGAAGTCGTGATAGTAAATTAATTGATTTTAATTTTTGTCGATTATCGTGTTTCTATCGTAAACAGACACTGTTTTTTATTTGCACTGTCGATAGCGATAACGCAGTATGGCCGAAGTTATCGGGATTATCTATCGAATAATTTACTTTTAAACTCGTTAAGCCAATATTAATTTAGTCAACGCGGAAATTTGCTTAGAATTATCAACCGACTTCAAAAAGGAGGAGGTTCTCAATTCGACTGTATTTTTTTTTATGTTTGTTACCTCAGAACTTCGTCATTTATTAACCGATTTGGACAATTTTTATTTTGTTTGAAAGGGTATATTTCCAGATTGGTCCCATTTAAATTTCAAAAAAAAAATACCACCCTTTAGGGTGGAAAAATAGCAAATGATGGATTTAACCTACTTCTAATTGTCATATTGACTTGAGACTTTGCAAGTGTTTCTATTTCCGTTGATAGTACAGTGGTTATTTTCGGAAAAATATATATTTGATTATAATTTTTTCAATGTGGTTCAATATAAAAATGTTATTATTTAGCAAAAAAAATCTTTAACATATTGAAAATTTTGTAATAAGGACAAACGAAATGTTTTTATATAGATCAGGTAAATTTTCGTTAATTTTTGAAAATTTAATCAAATAGCGGATAAACACCAGTGGGATATGTAAAGAATTGATGACTTTAATATTGAATAAACATTTTTAATCCCTTAAAGACAGCGGACACGCCGGCGTTACAGTTAACAATAGATTTCTCAGAAGTTTAATTAATTTCTTAGAAATTTACCTGGAGGTGTTAACATGATTAATAATGAAAAATATATAAATGAAACTATCTTATTCTAATAATATTATCTTCATGATTTATTTAGAACTAGCATTGCCCGCGGCTCCGCCCGCGTTCAGATGACCAAAAACCAAATTCTTAGGTTTTACATATTAGTATACTCTTAAATTGCAGTTTTTGTATTTTTTCTCAAAAATGAGATGTTTTCCCGCGGTAAAAAGTATATGTTGACCCGGATAATCAGCTATCACCATACCAAATTTCATCAAAATCCCTCCAGTGTTTTTTCTGTGATGCGGTAACAGACAAACAGACAAAAATTCTAAAAACTATAGATTCGGCCTCTGTATCGATAATAATGTTTATTTCAGTAAGATTTTGCAAAAAATATTTAATGTACAGATTCGGCTTAGTTACAACTTTATTATATCTATAGATAGATTTATATTCCACCTACCTCTGTCAAATCCGTACGGCTGTCGCAGGCTATAAGACGTCGGCATAAATCTATTAACAGCGAGTTGATTCCTCAGAATTTGGTCTGATTTTAGCATGGGGTCGCTGTAAAAACTGATATGTCTTGCGTCCATGGGGTAGCCCTTCACCTTGTACGGCCATGGGACATTTGCTTTAATCGGTGTGGGATATAATGGATACGTATTCCGTCTTTGCTCTAAATTTGCCTTCATCCTAGTTAACTCCAGTTCTCTGTCCACTTCGGTTATAACATTAAATTTAGTCTCCAGGTCATTATATTTTACTGGAACCTTCTTTTCTTGGCTAACAGTTTGAGATTCTGACTTTAAAGTACTACTCGGTTTGTGGGGCTTTTTAGCATCACTCAATATGTCGTCTATAAGAAATGATGATTTCTGTCTACACGCGCACATTTCAACGGCTTAATTCACACTGCCCAAATTATCAATAATAAAGATAGAATCGCTGTAATTGATAGCTTGTTATTTAATGGACAAGCCTAATCTATTTTCCTGATAGGTGATTTCAGGTATATGGCGTTTGTTATATTTGCAATGGCGATTGTGGACTCTATTGTAAGGTGTTATAGGGTTTAGTGTGAACAGACACGTATAAATGAGTGAAATTAAGTTATTTTCAGTATATTTTGTTTAGGCTTTTAGGTCGTATTGACAGCAAAAGATTAGGTCGTTAGGCGCTAGAGTGGTGTGATACACGCATAACACTCGGATTACTGAAAGCTGTCACTAGTATCACTTGCGAGGCACTGGTCATTTTATCTATGTACTAGCATCGCCCGCGGCTCCGCCCACGTTCAGATGACCAAAAACCAAATTCTTAGTTTTAAATATTAGTATACTCTTGCAATGCAGTTATTGTATTTTTTCTCAGAAATGAGATATTTTTCTGCGGTAAAAAGTATCCTATGTGTTGACCCGGATAACCAGCTATCATTATACCAAATTTCATCAGAATCTGTCCAGTGGTTTTCTCGTGATGCGGTAACAGACAGACAGACAAACAAAATTATAGATTTGGACTCTGTTTCGATAATAACGTCTATTTCAATTAGATTTTCCAAAAAATATTGAATGTACAGATTCGACTTAGTTACAATTTTATTATATGCATAGATTATGAAAAGTGACAAGCTGTGTGTAAATAGATTGTTTTATTTACTTGTGTTTGAGAGCTTTAGATTACATAAAAGCTCTTCAATGACAATATTCTAATGTTTTTGCTGGCTTAATAAGCTTAATTTACTACCATTATCAGGTTTCACTCAGAGGCATTTCAAAAGCTACACGGGTTTTTTCTAAAAGCTTAAAGAGTTAAGATTTGTTTAATACTTCTTTATACTATTTCTTATATGAACGAGAATAATTAACGTTTAAAAATTAAAAAAAATATTGTATGTATGTATGTCCTTTAGTGAGATCGTTCTATTTATTACAAATCATTATATAATTTTGTACCCAAATTGCACGCGTATAAGCCACAGAATAAAGAACATTAAACATAATTTTGTGGGTAGATTGTTTGTGACATCTAAAACCTTAGTCTCTCCCGTCACCATGATTGCTGTAAAGTATTCGAAATGTCAGAATTAAAAAAAAAACCGAAAAAGAGATTTTAAAAAGTTAAGATTTGTATTTTTGATACATACCTACTCGTATCTAATATATTTCAACGAGCAATTCTTGTATATTTATACCGGCGATCTTGGAAACGGCTCTAACGATTTTGCTTAAATTTGGTATTGGGGGTTTTTGGGGGCGTAAGATCGATCTATACCAGTCTTATGTCTGGGAAAACTCGTGTTTTCGAATATTCCACGCAAAATATGGTCGCTAATTTTGCACGCTCGGGCATAAATAGCATAACGTTATGGTCAAGCGGCCAAAGTGCAAGATTGACAATCACAGGTGTGCGGGTTCGAATCCCGGTCGGATACGAACTTTTTACTTTATTTTTTTTTGTTTTCTGTTTTTGTATTTATTCAAGTTTTTAATTTTGTTTTTTTATCTAAAAATACGATATGACAAAAAAGAACTCCGAGCGAAGCTCGATCGCCCCGATACTGTTTGCATTAAGTTATTTAATATCTAGCTACTGCATGAATTTCAAACTAAGAAGGGTTTATCTAAAAATTATATTATATTATCTTATATTAGAGTTATTATCTAAAGAATTTATTATTATTGACAATGCAAATCAATATAAGCAACTGATTACCATCCGCGGCTTTGCTCGGGAGGTATGACCAGAGGTTATTATAAATAGTACATTCATGGATAGTATATAGTGTTATATCCTGCTAACAAGAAAGTTTATGAGGATAGATGGATGGATGTTTGTTACTCTTTCACGCAAAAACCACTGAACCGATTTCGATGAAACTTTACAGTAATATAGCTTATATATATGAGTAATCCATAAGCTATAAATTTTAAAGATATAGTAATTAGTAATATACCTATAATTAAAGTACGCGTGCGGGGCCGCGGAACACCGCTAGTTAATAATCTATACATATAATAAAATTGTAACTAAGCCGAATCTGTATATTAAATATTTTTTGGAAAATTTTATTGAAATCGATACAGAGGCCGAATCTATAGTTTTTAGAATTTTTGTCTGTCTGTATGTTACCGCATCACAGAAAAACCACTGGAGAGATTTTGATGAATGGTGATAGCTAGTTATCCGGGTCAACATATAGGATACTTTCTACCGCGGGAAAAGATTTTATTTTTGAGAAAAAAATACAAAAACTGCAATGTAAGAGTATACTAATATGTAAAACCTAAGAATTTGGTTTTTGGTCATCTGAACGCGGGCGGAGCCGCGGGCAATGCTAGTAAATTATAATACTAAAGAAAATGCTTAACGTAATTCAAATGTACATTAAAAACATGCTTTACTTTAAATACATAAAAATTGAGAACCGCATACAAATTAAGTAGCTAATACGTGGGTATGTATAATAAGTAAGTCGTTGACAATGCATATAGACCAGGGTCGATAATTTTTGAAACAAAAAATATAACAATACACGTAAATTTTGAGGTTATGAAAAAAAAAATGTAAATACAAAACAAAAGTTGTAGAACTTTTTATTACCTACAACTTTTCCATTTAACTTTTTTCTATAGGACTTATAGTTTTGCCGGAAATCGAGATAAGCAGTTTTTTATCCTTAACAACTCACCCCCTCCCACTTCCCGACCTCAGATCGCCCGTAAATTGTATTTTCTATCATTTTTGTTACATTATATATTATTATTTTTTCACCTTTTACCATCTTCAAAGGTTTCAGCCCTGGTCTAATAGAGTAAATTATCGATTTAGATCTGCGATATTATATGCAATAAAATTAATATAATAATAGTAGGGAAGCCCAAGAGGGGATTTTTGCAGTTAGTCAAGCGCGGCAGATTAACATAAGCTTTCAAATCTTATCAAAATCAACATAAACTTTAGATATCATTATAGCCGATTTTTGCCTCTTCGGCTTGTGCAAATCGGCAGATTATTGAATTGCACACTTTTCAGGATGTAATTACCCCACCATATTTTAGACTGACAGTTTCAAGTATTTCTACCTTATTCACTTTTTTTTAATATTTTGGTCGGCTGCCCTAGACGCGCGCCTATAGATGACTTATATTATAGTGGAGATACTCAATAGAGTGCAAGGTATCCCCGCTGATGTTAATCTGCCGCGCTTGAGTAACTGCGAAAAATCCCTCTTGGGCTCCCCCACTATAAATAGATATTTCATTTTTTTTCATAATAATATTAAGCTAATATCTAAAGTTATTTATTTTCTGAATCAGACGATATAAAATTTGAAGAATTATATCCAAATATAACAAGTAAAAATTCAAATTGTTTTAATTCATATATTCAAATGTATTTATTTAAACATCACATTTAATGTAATGTAAGTTAAAATGATTATAAAATTTGAAATAAAACTACGAGTAGGTATCTTTTCGGATTATTTCGCTGATTTATTTAGATTTTTGGTTCGCGACGTTTCGAATGCTTTACAACAATTATGGTCACGGGAGAGACTGAGATTTTAGACGTCTCAACGGCATTATATACTTGTTACAGACAGTGTCTACCCATAGTTTTGTATTCAGCCCTTTTGACGTCCCACTGCTGGGCACGGGCCTCCCTTCAATATGAGGGGATCAGGCCATAGTCCACCACGCTGGCCAAGTGCGGGTTGGCGGACTTCACATGTCTTTCGAAAACTTCCTAGGTTCTCTCAGACATGCAGGTTTCCTCACGATGTTTTCCTTCACCGTAAGGCAAGTGGTAATCATGTTAGAAATGATTCGCACATGAAAATATCAGAGATGCGAGACCCGGGATTTGAACCCACTTCACTCGGTTTCCCAAGCGAGCGCGTTACCACTGGGCTACAACTGCCTTGCCCATAATTTTACTAAAATGAATTTAAAAAATTCAAAAATGGCACCAAAGTACCTAACAATATTTGTTGATTTTAATTCTAAACGTTTTAAAAAAATTAATAAGTATGTAATATATAATATAGCAATATTATTTATTTAATTTTGGCTGTTATTATAATAAATATTACAATTTTATAACGTCAAGAACCAAAAATCAAAATAAATCCGCGAAATAATCCGAAAATATAGTTTTATTTAAAATGTCAAACATTCGCGTAAATCTAAGAAAGTATCACATAGTATAAAACAAAGTCGCTTTCTTTGTCCCTATATCCCTATGTATGCTTAAATCTTTAGAACTACGCAACGGATTTTGATGCGGTTTTTTTAATAGATAGAGTGATTCAAGAGGAAGGTTTTAGTATATAATTTGTTAAGTTTTTGTATATATTGGCTAAAATATAACGATATTAGCTGGAGGTGTCGGAAAAAATAAGTCGTCTGGGAGCTTTCAACGAAAACGCTGCCTAAACCCTTTGAGATATAACAAAATAATGTATGGTGGAATTGTGTATCTTATATAGGTCTACAGAAAAGTCCGCGATGGCATATGTCTATCTCTTAAGGATTATTTACTATATCAATTTTAATTTAAAACGTAACGTACGATTATAAAATTGTTGCATTAAACGCAGCCTACATTAAAACGCTTTAATATATTGTTTTCATACTCGCCGCGGGAACAGCAAAGTAGTTGTGAAATATCCTCTTGCCATCACTTGAATACGGTTTAGCTGTAGATAGCTTATAAAAAGAGTTAAAAGTTACTGTCAAAATACTATAATTATAAAAATCTGTTATTATAAAAGTTTAATAAATGAATAAAAAAAGGCAGTGGTGGCCCAGTGGTAATGTGTTCTTTCGAGAAACCAAGTGAAACGGGTTCAAATCCCGGGTCTCGTATCTATGATGTTTTCATGTGTGAA